TTGAGGTATCGTGAACCGAACCGTGGAAAAATAAACCGCAGTATACCGTCAAACAGTTTATCGTTGCACTCTTACTACATAACCAGTCTAAAGCTTGAATATAAGTGCTGATTTTAATGTCAGAGCAATGTTTTTATTCACTATTTATCTCAATTTATCCATTAAATTAAGGTGAGTTTTATTTTCTGGAATATTTTGGTAATTAATTCTTACAAGAATGCAGCTTAAACATGTTAAAGAAGCAAAGCACTGTGGGTCCAAAGTTAACTGCGGAAAAATTGTATGGATCAATGTGCAAGTCACAGTCTTCTTTTGCCAAGGTGTTATCATAAGAGCTCGCATTATGAGCAGGGATTTGTTCTGCTGTCTGATCTCGCTATAAATAGATGTTCTCAAAAAGTCTTAATTAACATCATACTTTATTGACAAAAAAGGACAAATATTGCTCAGTTAAATTGCAAAAGAAATTTGTTTAAAAAAATTGTAATAAGAGAAAGTTTGCTTTTTTGTATGATAAGACTGCAGGAATGGTTTGTTTGTTTATTGACCTATCAAACATTTTCAGTCATTTTATGGTGCCACCACTTGGGATAATATTAGCTGCAAATATAGACTTGTACTTAACACTTATTGCCTTTGAGAAGTATGGGATCCTTTTTGTGCCAACACCTACCGTGACACAGAATCTTGGTTGATACAGTCTCATAGGAGTAACCTGTCTCAAGCATTTAGCAATGGGATTGGAACCTGTTATTGTTCGTGCATTGTTAAGGAACATTACTGCGTAAATGTTTTTGTCTTAAATTTGATGCAGTGAATTAAAATCAAGCCCAGCTTTATGATTTTGCAAAGCGAATGCCCTACCACTAGGCTACCATAACAGACAATGATGTATTTGGGTTTTATTATATAGCTAAAAATAGTCTCTAATAAAATAGAACCAAAAATCTAAAGAATTTTAGCGTTTAATACGTTGACGTTTTTTTGAATGCTGACTTTGTATAGCGTATATAAGTATACCCGAAACATTCCGTATACAAGCATTCCATATCGAACGCCTCGTTTTAGACAAAAAAATTGTCTAGTCAAATCCTCAGAGCTAAATTAACGAAATTAAGTGGCATTTACATAAGATGTGGTTATTTTTCACACAAAATGAAATTATTTACTAAAAATTTAGTGCGTTTTAGATCCATTAAAACCTAAATAAGCAAATCATATCACTCAGTTGAGTCATCAGAATGATTTTAAATTGAACGCTTACAGAACAGACGTTAATTTGGATAACGCTATTTGAAAAATCATTAAATTGAGTTTTTTTAGTTGAAATAATTATCAGAAATTTCTATAGATGTACTTTTTCCCACGGGGTCATTATTCCACGGAATCTCAATTTCTGTTTAATCTGTTGGTAGAAAATTATGCAGATTTTTTAGAAGATCACTGTATGCCTTACATATTACATTAAGTACGCTTGAATAAAATTTCCGAGGAAAATGTGTGACCGCGTACATAGAGTAAATTAATATAATGCAGACAAATGTACTTCTACAGTCTGGGAAATGTTTAAGCCATATAATAAAAGAGTTATTGAATTTATATTGGTGAATATCGCCACTTGTTGGCTGTTCAAATGCACTTGTGATCTCGTGCATTTGAACAGCCAACTCATGCCAATATTCACCAATACAAGTTCAATAACCCTGTCATATTGGAAAAATGCTTAGGCAAATACTTATAATGAATTGAAGCTTATACTTATAAAAAATTGATTTTAATTGCCTGTCTTTTTAAAATATTTGGAAAACTAAATGAATAAATGATTTACATATACCCCATTAGCTGCAGAATTGTAGCTCTCCGAAAAATATGTTGATAGACCAGAGAGCTACATTGCCACCCATTGAAAAAACTGAATATTTATTGCACACAAAAAAGTGCGCTGTTTATTGATTTATCCATCCATGTTTTTAAAACTATAATCTCAAAATATTACTAACCGTGTATTCCTAGCATAATCTTTCACTGTTTCCACAACAAGTGTCCCTAAAATCGAGATCACTGAAAATTTTGTTTGTTTATACAGATTATACTGTCAACTTTGTTCGTAAGATAATTCGGCCCAACAAGCTTCGTGTAGATATGAACTACAAAAGTGCTTGATAGAGTTGTACGGAAAATTTTGAAATCTAATTTTCTTGCAATTGATGTAAGAATTTGGGAGAATTAATTCATACACCATGTACACAAGCGCAACTTTTTGTGTGCAATAAATATACAGTTTTTTTCAATGGATGGCACTGTAGCATGCATGGCTAGTCGATTATGAAAATAATTGTGTCCTGATAAGACGATTTGTAAAAGTGTAACAGCGTGTTAGGAACAATGTGCCAACACAGTGTTTTCAACACTGTCAGTCTAAGGCAACTTAAAACAACATGCAGCTGTGCTGACACAAAACATTCTTCCATAGTAACAAAACTTTACACAGTCTATTATGTGTAAGCTTGACGGTGTGGTGTAAACAGCCTGCTGAAACATTTTTGAAACCGTGTCATCATAAACACACTAGCCGATTGTCATAAGCGCTGTAGTGCATTTTTTACTTCATGCTAGCGTGCAAGTGTATTAAACCAGCTAGCATGTTGTCATAAACTTTGTATAGCATGGTGTTATAAAGGAGCTATAGCCGCATTTTTACTATGCGCTAGCTCATCGTTTTTTATGTGATAAAGTTTTGTGACTTTTGTTACTTTATTAGCACACTGTGCCTAATGTAACACCTTTACAAATAGATTTATTTTGACACATAAAAATCATAATCAAATACCATCTTTCTGACTGATTAATCATTTAACAACTGTTAACCATTACCATTCCTAATAATTTTTATATGACCAAGTAACGTACATTTCCTTTATTTGAAATCATGAAAATCTAATGTTTTATTTTAAAACATCCTCAAATGACTGCTTGTAAACCTATATTCATAAATTATTATAGAGTAGTTTTACAAATAATGCACATGCAGAAAATGTGATAGTATCTTTGAACTCAGTTTGATGGTTTATCTTATCTTACACATGTAAGTTGCACTTTAAAAAAAATCAATGAAAAATATCAATTTCTTTTTGATAGGTGTGACTGTGACTGTCATCTGAGTACTGAAATTTGCTGCCAAGCATGATCATGATTTGCCAGATGAGCATCTGTTGGGAGATCAGATGACAAAGTAGGAACAGCGTAATGAAATTGAAACTGTCATGTGAAACAATCTCAGTTTAAGAGGATGACTTTAAATATAGCATATTCGAATTTTGATTTGAGAAAAAGACATAAATCCACAATTTGACAAATATGAACATATCAATTGCTTTCAGTTTTTCAAGAGAAATGGATTTTGTTACAGAGTCTAGTATGTTTAGTTTGGAATAAATGTTCTTATTAAATGTGTCAGATCTTGCATGTTTACATAGATCCGTATTGAGGTCTTCAGTTTCTAAGGGAAGGCATACCAATGCTAATGGTTAAGATGATGAAGCTCTGTTTTCAGCAGGATATGTACATGTTGTGTCAAACATAAGATCAAAGAGATGTCCAATCATATTTCAAAAACAACAAAGCACTAAATCTGTATACAGTTTAACTCATATGAGCTAATGCTGTAGTAATTTTTTTTAAATAAAAGTCACCCATTATCATCTTTGAATTAAATTCATCAGAATTTCATATTCTTCTCAGGACCACAGGACAATTTAAGTTAAACTTGGCACAGAGCATTCTTTAGTGTAGGGGAATATAAAATTTCATATGAAGGGCAGTGCTTTTTAAAGGAGATTTATTTGTTGAATGTCCTGTTCAGAGAAATTTACTACACTCTTATTGAGAGTTATTTGCCAGTGGAGGTCTGCAAATTAGAGACATGCACAACACATTCCTTTGTATTTCTTGTTAAAGTATTGGTCATTTTTCTGACTGACAAAAAATGGAGATAGTTCATCAGTATCACATTGAGATTACTTACTATTATAATACTATCTAATTATACTGTGTAAATGTTTTTAAAGCAATTTTTAAGCTGATGATACATCCGTAGCATAAAGCACTTCACTAATATGATTGCATCATACGTGATACTAAAGTCGAAATATGAGGTTGTATAAATTTTGTAGGTAGAGTTTCAATGGTGTTGGAAAGATTACCATTGGCTTGTTTATCCTTGTGCTCACTCCAGAATCAGACTTTAAGACAGGATTTTTGCTGTTTGGGTCAAAGAAATAAAGACTGGTAGCAAAGTTGACATTTGAACATTTCACATTTGCTTATTGCTAAGAAGGAAGACCCACTCGTTGCTTTGCAACAAGCTTTGCTCTAGTTATTATTATCATTATTATTATGTATAAAATCCATATCTTACGAAAACAGTGCAATATCTTTAGTTATTATCTGGTTTTCAAAGGAAATACACGTTTTCTTACGCATTAAAAATTAAGATTTGGGTTAAAAAACAATATCTTAAGACTGCATTTAATAATTAGTTTTGAAATTAGGGTACCCTGCTTGTTTGATAAATCCATTTTGCTTGAAATTCAATTTTTTGAGGTACATGTAATTATGTGGCTACTTTTTTTAACTGGAATTAATTGTGGCTAAATAATGTCTTTACTCAACTATCTAATAAGAGAAATTGGTCAAGACATACGTTTCTGACAATAATTTAAAATGGTATCATATATTATGGGCCACCCTGTATTGACATGAAACCGTTTTTTAAACTGAAAAAAAGAATCATAAAATTTTTATAAAGGTGGTTACGGGTCCTGGCTCCAAGACCATAGACTGAGAATAGATTTAAGTCAAAATTTAGATTCTATTTGAATCATTCTTCAACGCACATGTTGAAAACATTTCAGGTTAAATATTTGAATAGTAAAAATGTCGATTTAGATACTCTTGATACCTGAATGATAAACATAGAATTTAATAATCACGTTTCGTACCGACTATTAGACGCACTGGCAGGCAGACTTCAACAAAACCATCTGCTTTTTGATTTAACAAACAGTGATACTGAAAGTCTGATTCTGATGAACAATTCTGTTTGATAAAAGAACATTTCTTCTGATTTGATGCTTGGATCCATTCTGTTCTATTTCCAGGACATCTTTTGACAGCACTTAATGTTGGAATGGCTGAGGGGCATTCCTGTAAAATATCTCTAGCATACGCATATATACTTATTAAAATATAAGTGAAACTCTTACAGAATTTCGAAAGATTTTTAAAAAAAGAAGGAAAAATGTGTCGAAAGTTTCGTTTAAGTGAACCGGCAGGGTTTCAATATTCTATGGAGATTGAATTTTGTTAATGTGTTTATTTATCCTGAAAAAGGTGTTTTTCTCAAAAAAGTGTTGTAACCTGAGACTATTTTTAAAATCAAAAGTCATGAGATGCTCCAGAGCTTCTCAGGTTACATGAACTGAAATTGTCAATGAACCTTTCCAGTAATTTTGTATGCACAAGGTACAAAATTTATGGGTATGCACATGCATGTACTTTGGTCGTTTGATTACCTTAGAAGTAAGCTGTATGCATTTTTAAATATAAATAGATCTTAGTAACATATGTATCAGAAAATGCAAATTGGAAAGAAAGCGTGTCTTTGATTTCATTTCTTTTAGCTATTTAATCAACGCCATACATTTTATACACATAAACGCCGATGCACATGCAAGTTTTAGACTATAGACTTTGAAATGCAAATAATATTAATTTTATTCATGACTCACGTAATCCGTTGTTGCAAACACCAGATTAAAGCAGATTGCAAATATCCTCCACATTTTTAACCTACAAAAAGTATTCATTATTTTTGTAATCACATACATATACAATACATATTGTAATTTTTATTTTAAGTAAGTGTTTCTTTTTAATACTGGTAAGCGTACCTTAATAAACGCAGAAGGCTGCTGATAGATAAAGTCGTTAACATTTTTTTTTTGTCTAGCATATTTTTAGTTTCTACACATATAACGTAATTAGACATTTAATAGAAAAAAAATATGAAGGTCAATATGCATCTTTTAGCGTTGCAACACATTTGAAATGATATTTTTGCACTGAAATTTGTCTCTAAATAAAATATTACATCTTCGACGTCTTCCATTTAATCTTTTTTATTTGAGCAAAAAACTATAATTCTATTTAAAAAAAAAACAATTTAAAAATGTGACTTAGAAAAAAATTAAATTGTTTCTTACAGTGAATATTTAAACCTCACAAATTTGATATTTCTGGCATTGAAAATTTAATTAACTAGAAAATTATTTTAATCTCTTAAACTTTAGCTGAAGCAAAATAGATATACGTTAAGATTACCTTAGATATTCAAAACAGAACATCTAAAGTGGGGTGGGGGTATATGATGTACATTTTTAGATATTATCGGAACATTGTCTATGTTTATTTTTCATGGACTTTTGGAATATATTAACTATATTTGTCACAAGTCTTTGAAAGAATTTATCAGAATTCACTTATTGAAAATTTCAGAACCAGCATACATGTAACACCTTTTATTGCAAATAAAAGCTTTGTGCACAACTAGCATGCCAAAATATGAATCCTAAATTTGGGGAAAACATTTAGCCACAAAATTAAGTTCCTGGCTTAATCCTATGAATGGAATTTAATCGCTTTTTTTTTTATTGAATATAATTCAATTTGCATTGTTGAATCCATATCATTATTGGAAATTAAAAATGATGCAGAATTTTAAAAATATTGGTCTAGACCAATATCTGCTCTGAAGCTTAGGATCGATTCTTCTTAAATAATAGGTTGTGAAATTATTAAATATCATTTCAACTAAACATATTTAAAAAAAAAATCAACTATAAAAATGTACAAGGATTGTCAAAAAATGACGTTTTTGAAAAAAAAGGTTCTATATGAATTTTCTGTATATCAAATATTTCTTATGAAAAATCAAGTCAGAATGATTTAATTTTTATTGATGATACTTAATATTTTTTTAAAAAATCGGGGTCCTTGAAGATCACAAATTGTACGCACGGACCAGTCTGACGTTAAGCTAATTTCATTATAACGTCAAACATTTGGATTTAGACTTATAACACATATTCGTGGACACACACTACATTTCCTTTATAAGACACGACACACTTCCAAGTGCTACATATAAACTTTAAGTATAGATTTTAATTTCTTTAATTTTCAAAATTCAAAAATAAACATTAAAATTTACGAGCGTCAAAAATATAAACTCTTTGTATACACAAACTGCACAGCCAAGTCCGATGCTGCGCTAGAATTATAACAAAGTCATGAATAGAAATCTCCATTTTCAGTGTGTTTTTAAATTCTTGAACAAAAAATATATCAATCTCAAATCAATACACTAAATATACTTGAATAATTTAGAGTTGTTTTAACAAATATTTTGTCTCTTACTTCGTTTCAACCCTATTAGAACATATTTTTTGTTCAGATGCTGCCCCGTTTGGACGGCCGACGTCTTTTTTCCTGTCAATTTTTGACACATGTTTTAGGATTTTTGTTTAGTATTGGGACTGTCTATATAAAAAGCGATACATAAGATATCATTAAATGATTATAGCCTATATATCTGTGTTACTTTAACTTTTTTATTAAGTTTTGACTTGTTTGATTTAGAAAATAATCACTCTAATCCAAACTCTATTAGTATTTAAAAAAGGACCCAGCGGTTTGGCAGTTTTTCAAAATTACTATACGCAAGTTTTCTCGACCGTGGGTTTTAATAGAAGAAGCTTTCAGCATACTTATTGCCTCCCATACGAAATATGTACCAGCCGCCAACAAGTCGTCAGCTAGCTGTCAACTGGTCGTCAACTGATGATTCGAAAATTGTTGACAAATAGGAGTTGAATGCTTTTCTGAAAAGTGTTCAACTGTTTTGAACAACTGTTTTCAACTGTTTTGCATAAAATGAACAGTTGACCTTAGTTGAATGCATTGCTTGTACATTGACGATTTCATGCGAAAAAAAAGCTTGCCATAGATAAAACTCCGATTTTGTGACAATAGTCGCGTTGACAATAGTTGAACACTCTGTGTTAGAAAATCTCTCTGACTCTATTTATCTTAGGTTTGAAATTACAGTGTTTAAGATCGGATCTGCAATACCATAATTATGACAACCTAGATTTGAATAAGTGCATGCATGGTTTATAAGAAGTTGGGGACTTTTGAATTGAAAGAGTATTTTATGTGCAATCTTTGTACATGTAATTATAAAATTTCAATTGTTTTTCTATTTTTTTCTTTTTAATTGATGTTTGGAAGACAAAAATGTAGAGACTATGGATCCTGACTATTGTGTCCTCTTTTCAAATAATAACAAGAATTTTGAATACTAAGTATTTAATAACAGGCATCCAGTGTTCTGTTGCGTTGTTGGAAAAATTTACCACTGATTTAGACTAAATCTACACATTTCTGGCACAGAACATAAAGAAAGCATGTAGCAACTTGTGAGAGTGTGTCAGCTCAATTTATTTATCATATTTATAGATGTAATTTTAGAAATTCCACTGTGTTAACTTTTCATACTCAGAGACAAGCAAGCTCAATAAAACTGCATGCCTTAAATTTCAAATAAATATTCTGTAGTTTGTTGCAATATCACATGTGTGTGGGCGATTACAGACCTTGTACAAACATAGAATCGAAAACACTAAAGTTTTAAAATCACATTTACATTAAACATACAGTTGGAAATAAGAATTTAACTTCCTGACACACATAAAAGGTCAAGGTTTTTTTAATTTTTTATTTTTTATTTTTTTGAAATCCTTTACTGTTATGAAGTCACTTCATGGTATCTTAGAGAAATGACAGGCAAACTAACACTGTGATACTTTGTTTGAAACCTTAATTATCCTTTAATTTGTAAATAACAAAAAAAAAAAACAAACAACTGTTACAATAACTTCAAATTTCCGACTCTTTGTTGAAAGACAGCCGCCTCCAATTTTCTGTCGAATTATTACAACATTCGGCTCAATTACAATATAAGACCAAAATTCCATTACTAGTTATATTTCTCGTAAGAATATATTTTTTTTACATATTCATTAATATTCTTGAATGTACAAAACAAGATAAATTAGCATATTTTGCATATGAATCAAATGAAAATGCTAATGAATATTTAGGGCCATTATTGGTAAATTAGTAAATTAGTAATATAAACCAATTGCATACTATATTGTAAACCAGTTTTTTGTACAAAATCATTAATGGATCATAAATATATGAAACAAGATATGTAACTTGCATATGATTTTATTTCAATTATCAATGAATTTAATGTGAACTTAGTAGTCATTTGTTCATAATCATGCTACTTTTTCTGGTCGACAGGTAGACAGTATGACATTATTATAAATGTAATTATGTATTTCGAAGTCTTAAATATCATTTGTTCATAAAATTTGTAGTGTAACAGGTAGACAGGTCGACAGGTTGACAGGTAGACAGGTAGACAGGTCGACAGGTTAACATCAATAGTACTGTGAAGTTTGAAAGTAAATTTGTTAATAAATGACTCGTTGACAGGTTGACAACATTATTCATATGTGTTTTCAGTTAAATTTACAAAAAAAACGTGTTGACAATTAGTTTATTTAGCTCATTTATTGTTAAATAAGTCACCATAATAAACATTGTTGAGGTACTTTGATTTCTGTGTCAAATGGAGATGTATACATCTAACTGTTATCAGACATTGCGTAAATGAAATGAGAATAAAAATTACACTTACATGCATTCAATGTTCATATTTCTTATGATATGACCTCTCTCTACCTTTCAACCTGTCTACCTGACGACTTGTCGACCTGTCAAACCTATTAAATTGTAGTTCATTAATAAAACTGTTGAGTTGTCGACATGTCGACCTGTCAACCTGTCGACTTGTCAGCCTGTCAACCTGTCAACCTGTCAACCTGTCGACCTGTCAAATTGATGTTCTGAAGTAAAAATAAAATGTTATTTTACATGTATCCTTGGTTTTTATTATACTTAATCATTTTAATAAAAGTGTTTGTTAATATTCATTAAAAAGTAATTTGCATTTAATGTTTTGTACATATATTTTATTAGCGTATAATTGATATAATTATACATGGATATTTATGATCCTACCAAAATATTTTAATAACAAAACCCTTTTACTGCAGATTATGTGGATGGGACTATTTTCATCTTATTTTGTACTTGACCCCAACATTCTATAAAATTCAAATACCAGAGATAACATAGCAAGGTTATAAACAAAATGCACCAGTGATGTAAAAACATATTCTGATGTAATCAGTTTTTTTTAAATATGACTATTGATGATAAATTCTTAGTATATTATACCAATCTACACTTACATTTTCTTTTGTTCTTTTCCAAACTTCTTTTTCATGTCCCAATATTTAAACTCTACTTTCGTTTCGTTAAAAGGTTACTGGTAGATTAAAACGCTAGAAGATAATTTGCTTTACGTTTTGCGGATTTAAATGACAGAAAAATCCGATCAGGTTATAATCTATTACATCACAAATGAATGAAAAGTTTAAACATGTGCATATAACATTGCCAAATCAGATAAGCAACTGGAAAAATATTAGCCATTGTTCAAGACTCCAATGAGTCTTTTGTTTGTAAATTGAGCACTCCTCAAACATCGTCCTGACAAATTAATAAATATAGAACCAGATGAAAAGAATGAAAATTTTAACAGTTTCGGAGGTTTGGTCGATTCTATTTGTTTGAGAAAGATTTCTAAAATCTTCTCCTGGCCAAGAGAAAAATTGTTTAAAAATTCTATTTTCCTTTCAAGGAATATGTTAAACACCCCTTTTGCTCAAAACTTAACTTTTTTTGTCAACACGATGTTATATTTACCATGTTTACTTCAATGCATCAGAAACTTTTCTGAACAATTTATGGTACACATTCTTTTAACATGGACGAATGTTCTGTTTCAAAGTATAAAGCAAAGTTTTTAACTCCTGCATCTTGTTGTTCAGAACGAGGAAGAAGCGGCTGAATTGGATTTTAAAACTTTGTTTTTTTATGTCGCAAGGAAAATTATGAATTTGATTTAAATTTTTTAGACATTTTTTAGACATTGACACACCCTTGAAAGTTAGAAAAAAATACTTCACAAGTATCGTCATTCTTAGACTCTTCGGCTTAGTTTCGTGTAGAGAGTTTAGCAAATGAATCACACCAGTATTTTGAGAATAGGGTTCGATCTCTGTTAATGTTTACGATTCACCGGGTGTGATCAATTGTAAAAGTCTGCACACCACAACTGAAAATAGACTGCGTTTAATGTTTTGCTTTCGAACATTTCT